ATGACAAAACTATACAATAGCAAAGCCGTATATTCCATACCATGCAACCAATGTAATAATGTATATGTAGGTGAAACAGGCAGACATATAAAAGACAGAATAGACGAACATAGAAGAAATATTAAAAACAAAGACCCCAAATCTCTAATAGTACAACATATCAGAAACACAGATCACGATTTCAACCTAGCAAACCCTAATATTCATTATACAAACATAAATAGTAAACACAAAAGATTAATACTGGAAGCACTGATTTCAACAAAATATAATAGCATAAATAGACACATAGATATTCCAGAGACATATGATAGGCTGGTCCAAAAACTAAAATAGAAATATCCGATTTCTCGTAACCACACCACTTAACAATTTTGCATATAATAATATGAACCAATTGACTAATTTACATAGCAATAATTTTTCTTAAATAATAAAATATAAAACTTCATAAATAATCCTAAATATGCAAAAAATAGCTTATATATATGTATAGATAAATATATGGCATATACTGGATATGAATTGTTGATCGGCTAGTATTTCTAGGGGCAACACGCCTCTCTTTATCAGGGCTTTTCTTTGATTTGAACTAAATCGCGCGGGCATGGGATCCACTCACGCTATGCAAGACCAAAGCGAGAAACCATTTAAATAAAATATATATAACTGTAAATACATGATTAATTGAAATTGTAAATATTATTCCTGTAGAAGGGCAGATTGCGCCCGAAAGCTCGAATTAATTTTTCAAATAAAGAAACTCATCCTTTATGAATATATTCATTATTATAATAAATAATATTGTAGATCTATATCAATTTGTAAATAGCAGAGAGAATTATCATAGATTTAACTATTTTTGTAGATATATTTGTGATTATCTTTCTAACCTGAAAGGTTCAGGTTCCTAATATATATTATTGTTTCTCTTTTTGTTTTTGATTACCTTTTCTTGTATAATATGTTTATAACTGTTTCTGTCTAAAATGTAAATCGACGCGATTATCCCTAGCCGGGATATCGCGTTTTGTGTGTTGAAAAAATAAATAAATATAAAACATTTTAAATACAAAATCAACTACTCTTCAAAATGATTATTTTCTCATAATCATAATTGTCAAAAGATTTTGAGTGCAAGAACCCTTCTACAGGCATATATTCCAAATATATACATTTAAAATAAGTTTAAATAGTAAAGTTTTACTAAAAAAATAGCAATATTAAAGCGGGTCTGTGATGGCCTCTAATCCAGTTGCCCTTATAGACCGTTTATAAATAATTATTTCAAATGTAAATATTTGCAAGAAATGCAGTAAAGTATAGAGTCGGTGGACAAGTGGGTAACACCCTCGATTCCTAACAGCCATGAACCGGGATTGAATCCCGTGTTAACCTTTTGTTTAACATGTGAATAACTCACATATTATTCTTTGTTTCAATTATCATAAACTAGGTTGTTCTTTTTGAGCGGTACCTAATAAAGTGATTTTGAAACAATTGGAATGTAGAAGATTTCTTATAAACTCAAAGCTTTCCAATTATAATAAATTAGAAAAGAAAAATTCTGCGGTGTAATTGTTTAAGCATTTAAAATCTATTTATTGTCGACAAAAAAAATAAAGATATTGCGCTTGGTATTCCGTTTTGATCCCACCTCGACAATACTCATTCTTTCCAACACGATGTTTTATAATGCGTGCTCGCTATAGATAGATATCTAATACATACTAATCTTAGTAGGTTACGTATTGCTTTAAAAAATATCAAAAAACAAATCTAAGGCACACACAAAAGCCTTTATTAGGGACTTGCCCCATACAGATTCTCCCAATTGGGTAAGGTAATAATATTATTGTGTTATTTACATAGGTAGTAAGATAGAAATTGAACTGGCTTTACTCTTCGTCTCAAAGTCATTCACTTCTTGACTGGTCCTTACGTAATGATGATCTAAAAAATGTATAGTAAGCTATTAAACAAATCTAAGGCAATAGCTTACTATATATTTTTAGATCATCATTATGTAAGGACCAGTCAACAAGTGAATGACTTTGAGATCAAGAGTAAAGCCAGTTCAATTTCTATGTAAATAACACAATTATTACCTTATCCAATTGGGAGAATCTGTATGGGGTAAGTCCCTAATAAAGGCTTTTGTGTGTGTGTGTTTTAATCTTAGTAGGTTCGGAAATCTGTAAGGATACCTTTTTTAAAAAATAGCACATATATTTTACATTTATCGATTTCTTAGAATCCTCTGAAGTAGACTAAAAATCATTAAACATTATTAGGTATTAATTAAATTTTGGTATTTATTTGAAATAAACGCGTCATTTTCTACAAATTCATTAATTATAAGGATTTTATGAAATTGAGCTTCTTGAAAGTTTAATTAGAAAGTCGACGTTAGACCATTCCCGACTTGGAATAACTGTTCCAATTGAAAGAGAGAATCATCTTTCTTTTGAGTTGATTGGTTTGAGTCCTCAGAGAAGTTCAACAGATTCTTTTCATCTTCTATACTAGGCTGAACCTTGATGTTCTCAGCATTATCTTCTTTGTTCTCGATGCTCGAACTCTTGGCGAAAGCCGCCTGAATCAAACTCGAGCTTCGATGCAATGGCTTTCTGGAATGAGCGTACCATTGGTTTCTCGCTTCTCTCAAAGCGGCCTGCTCAAACTGAAGACTCTCATCAATATGAGAGAAAGATGCTTGAGGCTTCGATCTCATTTTGATCTTCTTATCATTCAAACCACTGTTCCATACAAAATAATGAAACCATCGTTTCTCTTTACGGATGTATTCTATTTCCTTATCGGTTTTTGATTGACTTGGAGTGATATTGAAGATATGTGATGGTTTCCGATTGAAAGACGGTGGGGGTTTCACTATAATAGTCTTCTGCAGCTTCTGATTTTGATTGGTCTTCTGTTGGATGGTCGATTTCTCTTAAGCTGCCGTTTAGAAGATTGTTTATTGTCATTAGAAATGGTTTTCCAGGTTTTCTTTGGGTTTTGATCATCCTATACTTACAACTTCGATGTGCTTCTGATTGGCTGAGTATTCCTGACTTGGTTGAGAGGACGTTAGACCAGAGTTTTTTGCCTTTTTTGGGAGATGTTCGCTTTGGTACGGTTGGGTAAAACCACCTCAGCCAATACTGTAAACAGAATCTATTCTCATAAATCCGGTTGTTGACTTTGCAAGGAGAGTCGATTTCTTCATTTTGATTTTCTACATCAATATGATCTCCTTGTGATAACTTTTCGAAATCTTGCTTTGGCTTGTTACGACGAAATATATGTAACCAGCTTTTTCCTTCTCGCCTTTTGCCTTCCCTGTAACAGTTTAGTTTCCTTTGAAGCCAATTTGGCGAGTTGACTTTAGTTGATTTTAATTTAAACATTGTTTTTTAAATATTCCATCTTATTGAGGGGGATTTATTTTAGCCCACACCTCGGACCCCTTCCATCTTCAAAAATGAATTCACCAACACGAGTTCCTCGCGAGTTAGTGCAAAAGTGCTTTACACGCGATAGCGGATATATTTGTGTGTGTGAAGTATAACGTTTACCTTCGTAAATCATAATTCCGCCTTAGAGAGGCCCCCACCACCATCCTCACGGATCATAGCCTTGTACTAGCAGACATTACACGTGTACATCCCGAAACAGACCCTACCTGCATCCACAGTTCAGAAGAGCCCCAGAGAATTGATCATATTCTCTTCATCTGCCCAGCATTCCTGAGACATAGAATACAAACAGTCATCCTGCTTGACTGACCCACCTCAATCCTACATCTATGGCCAGACTTCCAGACTCAACTTCATCATGGAACTTCCTGGTCAACTAGTTCAACTCAGTAATCAAAACAGGACGCGAATAAAAGCACTCAACACTAGTCCATACTTAATGAGCTGTACTCCCGGGTAGTTGGCGTTCTACGCTTCTGTAGAACCAGGGTTATAAATATATCTCTCTGATTCACATCATTTTGAAATGAACATATAAGCCGTCCAGGAACGAGTTTCATTTGAGATATTCTCAATTATTTCTCTAGCTCTTTTTTCTGACTTTAAAAGTCTTTGTTTGGAAGAACATGAAAAAAATAAAATAAAATAAAAAATAATAATAATAATAAGTTTATTTTATTCGAAATGATAAAAACACTTGATGTTTAGCGCTTTATAT